CTTTCCCTCTCTCCTCCCTCAACATTTCTTCCCTTCTTTCTTTCTTTTTATTCCGTCTTACTGCTTTTTCCTTTTTTCTTTCCCTTTTTTGAGAGAGGATTAAATGTGGGATTTGCTTATATTTGATTTCTCAATAAATAAGGCATTTTGTTAGAATTTTAACAATTTTTATGTAGTTTTCTTCTTGGAGGAAATAAAAAATTCAGACAAAATACCATAAGATGACAAACTTTTTTTTTTTTTTTAGAGAGAGATTTTTGCTATAGGACATATACACTTGCTGGAGAGACAAGATAGACAGAATGAGAGAAAGCAAGATATCACCGCTTGGGGGAATGACCACACTGCCATCTCTTTTCTTCCATTCTCCTCCTGGATTTTGATACGCATGAATTGTGCCTGACATAAGTTTCAAGCCTCCAGGACCAGGACTCAAATCCCAGTTGGATGTGTGGGAGTCCAGCACCATAACCACTACATCACCTGTTGGCCTGATTACAAACATTTTTTATTCTATTTTATTATTCTTACTCTTATTATTTTTTAAAACATTCAATCACTACATACCATTTGGCTTGTAAAGAGAATTTACCCAACATGAAATATACCTCAGACCAGACCAGTTGAGAATACTATACCAGTTATCATCAATAGGTAATTAACAATTTCTATGTTCCATAAATGTTTTGATTCTCTACTTTTTCTCCCTGATTTCCTTCCCTATACTCTTCCCCTCTCTCACTCTCCCTCCACAGTGTCTCCAGTGTCCATAAGTATTTTCACTGCTTTCATGTCCTCCAATCTTTCAACCTCTACCATAGAGTGCAGATAGTTGGTATATATTAAGTGGAGACATACAATGTCTCTTTCAAGGTTGGCTTGCTTCATTCAGTTATACATCTTCCATATTCAACCACTTTCTATAAAATCTCAGCATCTTGTTGGGTTTTTTTATGGCTGAATAGTATTCCACAGAGTATATGCCCCACACGTTTTCAATCCATTCATCTGTTCATGGACATTTGGATTGATTCCATGTCTTAGCAATTGTGAATAATGCTGCAATAAATATTGATGTGCGAGTGCTTTTCTGACTGAGCATTTTACTGTCCTTTGGGAAGATACTCAGGAGTGAAATTGCTGGATATTATAGTAGTTCTATTTATACATCTTTGAGGAACCTCCATATTGTTTTCCGTAGTGGCTGGACCAACTTGCATTCACACCAACAGTGTAGGAGAGTTCCTCTTTCACCACAACCCCACCAACACTTAGCATTTTTTGTATTTTGATCTTTGCCATCCTGACAAATATTGGGTGGTTTCTCATTATGGTTTTAATTTGCATCTTCTTTATGATGAGGGATGTTGAGCTTTTCCTCATATGCTATTTGGTTGTTTCTATACTGATGACAAACTTTTAATGACTTTTAATGTTTAAGTTTAAAAACAAAAATCAAGAGTTTAACATACCTAAGTAGCATAATTGCCTTTATAGCTTTGTGTGCATTAACCAATATATAAAGAGTCCTAAGACATTTTATGATTAGGACTACATAACCAGTAACATATAGAATAGTAGTGATAAAAGAAAGATTAATTGAATATCATAAATTAAATATAGTATATTTGTGACAATTGTATTAGAATTTTAGCTGTTTTAATTATAGAATATTCAGTTTGGAAAGATTAAGAAAATCTAGGCTTCTGCTTCTAAACCTCTTGATAAAACATACAAATGTGGAGCATATTCGTGAGCATGATTTTTCTCTATTCTATGTATAGCATTTTCTTTTCCCAGACAGTAGAGATAACATATTTTGAATTTTTGACAGTAAGCAGCACAGGCCAATAATTTCTCACAGTAAAAGTCTAGTGAGGGACTTAACACCTTCATCTCTATTCCATTAAGGATGATTGATTATGAAAAAAAAGATTCAATAGCAATGTCAAGGCTCAGTGAGCAAATAATCAAATGTTACTAATAACACTGTATTGTTTTACAAATCTTTACTTTAAGCGATACGAACTATGGTCAGTGCATTTATAATGAATTCTAACTTTCATCTGAAAAGAGTACTCTCTGCAATTAGTAAAAAGCTGCCCACCAGAATTAGAGGTTGTACTGACCTTCTTTTCCCAGACTATGGAGATAACATATTTTGAACTTTTGAGAGTAAGCAGTGCACGCCTAAAGATTTCTCATAGTAAAAGACTAGTGAGGGGTTAACACCTTCATCTCTATTCCACTAAAGATAAATGACTAAGAAAAAAGATTCAATAGCAATGTCAGGGCTTGGTGAGTTACTGATCAAATGTTCCTAATTCCACTATATTGTTTTACAGATTTTTACCAACTATGTTCAGTGAATAATGAATTCCAACTTTCATCTGAAAAGAGCACTCTTTGCAATTAGTAAAAAACTGCCCACCAGAATTAGAGGTTGTACTGACCTTCTGTGGAATCTGGGCAAGGGCTGAAGCAATGATATTGGCCTTTTCGTCTGTGAGGTTTTTGACCATTGACCCCAGAGAAAACACCACGATACCATCTTCACCTGAGCTCTGGACAAATTCTTCCATTTCCTACAGAAAATAACATTCTATTATAAAAATGCAGCATCGTAGGGAAACAAAAAAAGAAGAAGAAATAAAAGAAACTCATCTACAACCCTAAATAGGAAAAGTCTAGAGAAGTGAAGCATACATTGTTAGAGTGAGTCTGTCTTCTAACATGTAGAACTGTTTGGTCTTTTTCAGAAGAAACGTGTTTCTAAATTGTATGGTTTAAATGTATAATTAGTAATTATAATATAAACATGATACTGAAACCAAAACATTACAGGAATGAACAGATAGTAAGATAGCTTTGCTTATGATAGGTGGAATTGTTACTCTCAATGCTTAAATTACACTAAACAATAGAGTAGTCTGTAAATGTGTAAAAAAAATTCCGTGGAAGGAAGCCCAAATAAAGGTTTAGAGTTTGAGTTGTAAAATTATTATCACACTAGGGCCAGCAGATTGCAAAGCAGTTACATCGCTGGAATCCCACACAGATAACTTCAGTTCGAATCCCAGTCCTGGTGGCTTGAAAATCACACCAGGCACGTATTCATGTGTACCCAAGATCCCAGGAGAATGGAGAAGATGTGGCTTGGCTATCCTCCCTGGGAGGTGATTTCTCACTTTCCTTTTCACTGACTCCATATCTCCAACAAGCACACACACTCTAAAGCAAAACCTCTTTTAAAAAAATTATCACCATGTCAGTTATATCCCATGAATTATTAATAAATTCACCTACTTATTCTTGTTAGACAAATATTCAGGATCATTTTTCATAAATTTATGCAAGCCTATTTTACTGGACTCAGAAGAAATGCATTATAGAGTAACATTTTTTAAAAAAGGTAACACAGTCAACCTGCTATAATCATCATGCATCTTATCTCTCAATTCAGTTATTGGTCTGGCTCTGATTTTCTGTCCCGTAATCCAGTATCCACATGATAGACACAGTGATTTCAATTTACTTACTTATTTATTTCTTTATTTATGTTTGTTGACAGGTGCTGCTTATATTTACAAAAGAGAGAAAGACAGACAGAGAGAGAGAGAGAGAGAGAGAGAGAGAGAGAGACTGAGAGAAAAGAAAGAAAGCACCCTTGAAAAGATTTTAATCCCTTCTCCATTTCTCCATCCTGTTTGGACTTCATGTATGCACACACACACACACACACACACGTTCATCACACTTTTGAAGATGTCAGTTCTGGAATATGAACCATATCTGGCCACATAGGATCTTGCTTCCTTAAGCATAGGCCATAGGACTGGACCTATAGTCATATTTTTAACAATCCATTTGAATCATTTTATTCTTTAGCCTAAATTCTCAATACAAAGTTCAAAAGACTCAGTGTTACTCATGACAGACCCCTATGATGAGTAAAACAGATTTGTAGTGGAAAATAGGAGACCTCTAGCCATCTATTTCTGTTATTGAGGCTGTAAACTTTAAAGAAAAATCAGATATTTTATTATAAGGTGCATTAAACCTTCACCGTAATAGACCTACCTTTGGTAAAGGTTTGGAATGGTTGCAGTGCAATCCTCCAACAAACTCAAAGTTAGGTAGGTAAGGACGAGGAAATTCAAAATCCCAGTATGTCCGGATTAGCCAAATTTCAGCTTTCCCCATAATCTCACATAATGTAGTGGGTCTTCCTAGATAAAATGAAGAAAGTTGAGTGGAGGGAATTAGTACACATGCTTATTTCTGATAAGCTACAATATTAAGGGGAAAATTAGGTTCACTAGAATACTTACTATGACTATATGTTATAATTACGGGAAAATGGAAAGAAGGAAGGAATAAATGAATAGAGGATTTTGCAATGGGGGAGTGAAAGAAAAGTAATATGTAAGTGCCATTTCATAACAATAAATAAAAATGTAACTGAAAAATTTAATATTCGGATTTTTCTCTCCAGCTAAATGGCAGATAATGGATTAGCCCCATTATATATCAACCCGACACCTCTCAATGCTTTTCCATCTTCCAGTCAGGAATATATTTTTGTCTGCTAACTTATTGTAGGATTCTCCCAACCTCAGACCATCTTTTCTTCCTGAGTCAAACCTCATCACATATATTGGTTTTCCACTATTTTTTCCATAAGAATTCCTTGAGAATTCACATTCAATATAATCTCCTTTGAAGTATAACATACACAAGAACATATACCAATATCACACACTTACTTTTATGCTTTGTTTAAATGATATCTTTGGAAAGGAATTGATTCTAAGTATTAATTTTAGGAGATCTGTAGAGTAGAACTCGTCTGAAAATTAGAAAGTCAATTATTTTTACACGCATAAAACTTGTTATGAAACTGAGGAAAAGAAAACTCAGAAAAGAATTCTCTCTTATTAAGTATTCTAATAAAAACTGAATGGCACAAAGAGGTGTGGTATTATCTGTTGAAGACATTTTGTAGTTTTATCAACAGTACTAGGGAGAAATGTTCACCTGTTGAAATATCCATTTTGTAAGACAAATACTAATGTGATTGAATGTATGGAAGAAAATGAAATGAAAAAAAAAAAAAAAAAAAGGGAAAAAAAAAAAAAAAAATTTGCCCCAAATAAAAAAAAAAAAAAAAACAAAACAAAAACCCCCCAAAAACAAAACTGATGATTGAGGACCAGCAGATGGCATAGCTGTTGTGTCCCTAGACTCCCACATGGTTTGACCAAGGTTTGAGTCCTGGACCCAATGGCTTGAAAATCATGCTGGGTGTGTGTGCGTGCATTCTCAAGATCCCGAGAGGAGAATGGAGGAGAAGGGACTGCTGTGTGACAGTCCCTGCAGAGGGTGATTTCTCACTTTCCCTCTCACTATCTCAGTCTTTCTCTCTCTTCAGTGAGCTCACGTGCTCTAAGGCAAAAAATGAACTCTTAAAAAAGAATGATTGTATACATCCTATGGTAAATAGTCTTTTATTAGAGTCATCACTTAGTAGTGTTTGAATAGAGGTCATATAGCCAAATGCCCTAATTTGATAATGAAGAGGCATTGCCAAAGGAACTCAACTTGAAATTCCCAGAAATTGGCTAAGAACCCCACCTCATATCTTCCACATCAATGTGTTTATGTCCTCCATGTGCCTGTTCAGTGTGTGCTACGTCCTTCCTTGATTACTAACTACACACGTGAATTCAATGTGCAAGAATTTTAGACCACATTTTAAGAACTAATTAGCTTAGGGCCAGCAGGGGTACGGTGGTTAAGATGCTGTATTCCCACATGATCGACTGCAGTTTGAGTCCTGGACTTGGTAGCTTGCTTTCTCACTTTTTCTTTCACTCTCAGATCAAATTAAAAAATGAATACTAATAATAACAAATAAAATTAACTAAATAATTCTTTTAAAAAAAAAAAAAAGAACTACGTGTCTTAAAGCAGTCATTAAAATTCTACAGTTAGGGCAATGATTCACCATAACGAACACAAAGCTGATGAAAAACAAAAAAATAAGATTGAACAAAGGTACACAGAAGTGGGCAGATAATTTCAAGAGACATTTTGAATGTTATATTGAGGAATTATGAAACAAAAACATGCAATTAAACTTTGCCATTAATCCTTTTCTTAAAATACTCACATACAATAGTTTTGCATTCAGTGGGTGATTACATAACACATAATATATAAGTAAGCAAATGAGGTTTGGAATTCAGTGGGTGGCAGTTATTGGTCTCTGAGCAGTCCATTTGAGCTATGTTGCTATCTACAGAAACTTGCCTAGGTTTTCTAGGTACGCATTTTTTTCCAGCAGTATGTGCGAAATTAATTAACAACTTCGGGGTTCACTTTTGTTTTTCAAAATTAAAATACATTGTCCCTACTTTTTCTTTACCTCTGTGAGTTCAGTATTGAGGTAGCCTTGCTCAACTATATTGGAAGAACAATATCGTAAGGGATACAAAAGTAATAAACAATTAATTTCTTGATACCTGATGATGTAGTGAACAGAACATTCTTTCTGTGGATAGTTACGTTAAAGAAAAATAAATTTCAAGGCATTTATAGTGTGGGATTTTGTTGTTTCTTTTATTACTGTACCAATACAGTCATTCAATTAATTTATTTCAAAATAAATTGACATAAAAAACATTTCCTGGGACCAGCAATTAGCATAATGGCTATGTCTCTGGACTCCCATGTAGTCAACCATGGTTCACGTTCCAGACCCGGTGGCTTAAAACTCACGCTGGGTGTGTGTGCATGCTTGCCAAAGATCCCAAGACGAGAATGGAGAAAAAGGGATTGTGGCATGGCCAACCCCCCTGGGGAGTGATTTCTCACTTTCTGTCTCTCTGTATCTCTCTGTCTGGAGAGCGCACGCACTCTATAGCAAAAACAAACAAACAAACAAACAAACAACTCCAAAAAAAGAAAAAAAAGAAAACATTTCCTGTTACAAATCATTTGAAAATAACATTAGATTACAAATATTTATTTATATTTCAGTTAAAAGAGACCAAATCTAAAACACTAACATGTATTAAATTATAAATTGATAGAAAATCATATTCACATATATTTAGAGTGCTATATGCAGCTATATTCATGTAGCTATATCAATATCAAAGTAATTTTAGCTATATTAATATTATTTAGCTATATTAATATTAAAAATAATGATTTGTACTCATGAAGCATTACTAGAAGCAAAAATGTTAGATAAATTTAAAAACTGAGTTTACCAGGAAGCTATAATATTGTAATTCTACACTTGAATGCCCCTAGCACATTAAACCCTATGAGGCAAACACTGACAAATTTTATGTAAAATTTAAAACTACACCATAATTGGGATAGATTTTATGAAAGATTATTTAAAAACTGACATAAAAATAGAGTACCTCTTATCTATATTTAGGACATTTCAGATTTTAGATTTTTTAAAAATTTTGATATATTTACATATATATAATGAGACATCTTGAGGAAATGACCCCAATACAAATACAAATTTTATTTATGTTTCACATACATTGTATACACATAACCCAATGCTTATTTTATATGCTATTTTTGTATTGCAGTGTTTGACTGCAACCTGTCACATGAGGTCAGTTGTGGAAATTTCCACTTATGTCATCATAACTGCACTCAAAAATTTTTGAATATTGGAGCAGTTTTGATTCTGGATTTTTTAATTAGAGATTCTCAACCTCAGTCACAAACATGATGTATCTGTAGTGTAGGAGCTACAAGGTTCAGAGCTTGATCTAATGGATATATATATGACATTTTGATCACTCAACATAGAGCCTATACATTTTTTTCAAGGACATGTATAAATATTTCTGAGATTTAACCACATAATAGGTCTTAAAATTAGTGCCCATAAATTTTAAATAATTTCTGTTATACACATCATATTTCTAATCACAAGGCAAAAAGTTGAAAATTAAAAAAATTAATTCCATGCTATAAATTAAACTCATGAATTGTCTAAATTGTTCATCTCCCCCATATTCATGTACTGATTGCTAAATGTACTTATTATTTAACAGTAGTAAAGGGAAAATATTTCTCCTTTTTCTCTTGGACATCTTCCTATCCATGAGAACATTGCCAAGCTCATCTATTGAGTAGATATGAGATAGATGTAGAGAGCCAAGCCCAACCTAGAATACTGACTCTCAAACTTATTAGAAAATCTGCACAAGAGCAGTAGAGCCACTTACCTGACTCAGCTGAATCTGTGAGTTCCACTGCAGTTAGAACTATACTGTCAACACAGACTCAGAAACCATAATAAATGACTTCTGTTTCATGCCACTGAGTGTTGGGATTTTTTTAAAAATAAAGCTTTATTGTCATAATAGCTAACCCATATACTGCCTTATACTAGAAAATGCCTTATACTAGAAAATAAAAAAATCATTTTTGAAATTCTTTGACAGGTAGAATCAGCCAACAACCACAAAAACTCCTGAAATAATATAGATGAAAATAAATGAAATATGGTAACTATGGAACCTGAAATAAATTTCTAGTTATTATTTATTAATAGAAAATAGAGTGCATGTAACTTTAAAAGTTAGAGAAAGGGTAAAACTCAGAAAAATGAATTTATTGATATAAAAGTATAATTGTTGATATAATCATGAGCAAGGATATTTTTGGGGTGTTGGAAAAGTCATGATGTATTTCTTCTGTCTTTCTATGTAAAACTGTGTCATGACTTTTCTGACAACCCAATATTAGAATATAAATTTAAAATTCAATCTTACAGACACACACGAATATATGCTATAACCCTGAAAATGATTCGTTAACTGAACTCAGTAATGTTTTAATAGAAAATTTCATGGATGTTGGGGCCAGCAGGTGGTGTGGTGGATAAGGGCACTGGATTTCCACATGGCTAACCATGGTTCAAGTCCTGGACCCTGTGGCTTGCTTTCTCACTGTCCCTTTCTCTCTCTCTCGTCAAATAAAGAAAAAAAATAACAATGACAAATGGAAATAAATAAATAATTCTTTAAAAGAAAAAAAAAAAAAATTCTTTAAAAAAAAAAAAAAAAAAGAAAATCTCATGGATGTGGCCAAACAGCTATGCAGCAATAAAACATGACATTCTGTCAGGGTAACCCAAATAAAAAGATTCTGAGTTCACATCTGGAGACTTCCCTGAGAACTCCAG